ACACACACACACACACACACACACACACACACACACACACACACACACAAAACCTTGTTCTCCAGTGCAGTCCCCTTGTGCATTCCTATCCAGACTGTAAACACAGTGCACATGTACTTTCAGGCCGTTTTCCAAACTAGAAATGAAGTTCAATCGGCCAACTCAAATTGAATGCACTACAATATAACTACTAATACTATTACATAAGGCCCCAGGGTCATTACACTCGCCAGGCACAGCAGGGAGCGACAACAACACACAGGTAGATGCTGCGGTGGAGCTTTTTAAATGCTACATGAACAGCAGCAGCAGCGTCAACGGAAAGTGACTGCCATGAACTGACAAGAAGGTTTTGCTTCTTTGATTTCCACTTGTGACCCTTAATCACAGGTAACGTGTTGACATGAGACATTGTGAGTAACTCAAGAGTTATTTTCCTTCTTGGACTGTTTCATTTGTCAGATTTGTAAAAGCCCAAATGTGATAGTAGACAGTATATCACCAAGAGACATAATTATAGAAGAAAATACAAAAATACATTTTTAGAAACAGATATTTTCTTTCTATGCAGTTCAATCATCTGGTGACCCGTTAGATTTATCTTTTGACCCCTTGTCTCAAAGGATAAGGCTGGCGTTACCATATTTATTATTTATCAAATTTGAAAGTTCAATTCATTCATCCATAAAAACATGGACATATATTTTCTCTTTTTCAAAGTTGAGCAATTTATTAAAACAGTTGGGCAATGTCGTTTTAAGTGAATGCTCAAACAGCAGTAAATATATTGAGGATGTGGATTAATACACATTTGTTGCTCTCCGGACTATTTACAGCAGCAGGGTGGTGTTGTGGGGATGACTTAGAGGGGACATATCACAAAGAAACTCACTTCATCTTGTGAACATACATTTGGGTATCTCGAGTTCCTACCAACCCACAAACTGTAAAATATGATCACCCAGTCAGTATTTTTGGGGGTGCCAAGATCAGAAAACATGTGATTCAACGAGCCACTCAGATTCGGCTCCCCTTCCTACATGCAGGCTCGTTAGAATATACCGAGTATCTCCACCCACGGCTTGAGAACTATACCTTTGCAAAGGTGCACCATATTTTTCCTCGCAAGCCAATCAGAGGAGACTTTTTATGGGTGGGGCCTTAAAGAGACAGGCGCTAAAACGCAGCGTTTCAGACAGAGAGGGAAAACGGGTATATTCAGACAGACGGTATGAGAAAAATAACGTGTTTTTATAACATTAAATCATCTTAACGTGTTCTAGTAGAAACCCAAAATACAAAAAAGAACCTTAAAAATGAGCATGATATGTCACCTTTAAAATACACTACAGTACATGTTTATTGTAATGATAAACAGTGCGACTCACTGATGTGTTTTTAATAGTTTTTGGACAACAGTGAATATCTATGGCACAGAAGAATAAGCTGTATTAGGCAATAATTCATTATTAGTAGGATAAATGTATTGTCGAATTTGGTCTTTTCATGGGATTTCAACAACAAAAACGCAGAATGATCAGTGCTAACATTTAAGGTGCCACTAATTAAATTACTCGAGTATGATTGTGGAACTTTTTATCTTTTTTCCACAGGCTCTAATGTGCTCTATAGAAAAAGACTGGATGAGAGAAAACCTCCCCTACGCTGCCTCTGCGTCGCGGCTTGTGAGCAGCGTGTGAATCCTCAGACAGAAAGAGAAAAAATAGGGCACTTTCATATTTATTCAAGTGTCAGATCTAGAGCTGTCTGTGGGGAGAGCGAAAGAGAGAGGAGGGGAGGAAGAGAGGAAGGAGGGCTGCAACCACAGGAGCTCTGAGATTTCACAAGCCTGCCTTTCTCTTTTCTAACTCTGAACACACACACACAGCATACACACTCATGTGCCCGCATGGACACACGGGGGGGGGGGGGGGGGGGAGGGAGAGGGGAAGAAAAAGAAAGTGAGGAGATAGAGGAGGAAGGATGTGCTGTCATTCAAACAGACAAAAATAAAAACATCCACTGCATTGCGTGAATCTGCCTATCACCAGTGTGTGTGAATGAATGAGCTGTGAATGAATGAGCTGTGAATTCAACGCGCCAAGTTATGTCTCAGAAGTGTTAGACTGAGCATCTAAATGAGGATTACGCGCAGGTGCCAAACAGGCCGTGATCCACCGTCTCCGAGATGTCACATCAATTCTGGGTACATGCGCTGCTGAATAGATAAGCCTTCATCAACGCAGCCAAAAGAACAGGAAGCTCCCTCTTGAATGAGATACACAAACACTGAAGCACATGTAAGAATACCTCAGAGCAATTACCTCAGAGTGCAGGTGCTGGTAAACGTAAATCAACACTTCCTCCTGGTGGATCCAACGTGAACTACAGGAACCCTCCGGGCGTCAGAAGGCAGTCAGATCCTGTTTGAATTCTGTATGAAATTAAATTAGTTAATGTTACCGTGAGGAACTTTTAACTGGTTATGAAACAGTCTAAATGTAATACTGATGCCTCTATGACCTTCATAAGCAAACGAGACCATCGGTGAACAGATTGACTATTTCTATAAAGTTATTCTTGATGCTCGTCATCGGTGCCACCAGGTTGGGTTCTGCGCAAAACAGACAGACCCGCAGACAGACCCAGATACGACGCCTTCGACCTGCAGTCAGAAGCTCCAGGGTCTCCTCCATCGGCCAGGAGCCGAGCTGAGCCGCTCCTCTGGTCCCCGCTTGGGACTATACTGCTGCAGACACAGGGCGTTATTGCTGGGCCTGCTGCAGTTAAATGAGGGTTTTCTAAAGGGACTCTGGTGCTGTGGAAGCACCACCACCTTCGTCCACAGGGACCGCCAAAATCATCACGAAATAAAAGTTCTTTGTAGCAGCTTTAAGTCGTGGATCTGGTTCAGTCACTTACACCTCGACTTTGGGTCGTAAAGAAGGTGGACTAACAGATGGGGGCACTCATGTCAGCATGAATCCAAGTAAGATCTGAAGACACTTCTATGCCCTTGTTGTCAGTTTCTGCCTCTGAAAGCCACATCATGGAACGTATTCTACATCTTATGCTATAAGACCTGCTAGCTGTGAGCAAAGATTTAAACTTCAACAATTCCCTCAACTGGGCAACTCCTCACTGCCGAGGAGGATTGTGTGATCAAAAGCTCCAGAGTAGCCACTAAACGGGCCTTCTGATGAGTTTGCATTTCATTCTTGAAGTATTTCAGATTCTTTTCCAACGCTTCACTTATTTTTACTAGGTTACAAAAATTCTTATTTTTACAATTTAGCTGAGATTTTTGTTAAAGCTGATCCTGCAATGGATGAATAGATTTAAATAATGAATGGATGGATTTGGTTGTTTCATAATGCACGTGTATATCTTTGATATTCAACTTATGAGTTCATGGATACCAAATACTTGATTGTGCTGCTTGTAGTTTCTGAGACATTTTTTATACTTTAGACTTTGGGCACAAAAAGATAATGAAATACATAGAACAAGAAAAGGAAACATTAGTCCCCTTATGTGTCCAAAGACTAAATACAGTGGAATAACAAAAACGTACTTTTCAGCCAAACAGTTTAACCAATTTTGAAACTTTCTTCAGATTTTTGCACGCCCAGAGAACACTTCTACCAAAAGAAATTCAAAAGTTAAATCACGAACACAAATGGGATTAGATCACCTCACTCCAACAAGAAATCAAGGATAACAACCGTTTACTGTGATGGATCGCGTACTTCGTCTACCGACTTTTAGATCTCTGCAAGTAGATTTCCACACGTTGATGAGATGATCTGGGACGAATACCTGCCTAAAATTTGGGATATTTAACACAAGTTTATTTGGCTCACTCTGCAAAAAAGTAGTGACGTTAAACATTCAGAGGCTGCAGCACTCAGCTTCAATTGGGGCCTTCTCCTTGGACGGTCACCCTGATAAAGTTCACCATACTGCCTGCAGTTATCAGTGACTTAAAGTAAATACAGGATAAAACGGTGAAAATGATTTTACAGGAATCCACCGACCACAGACATTCAAAAAGAGTCACAGAAGAATTTTATGATTTGATTGACTTTATTTGTAAGGCACCAGAAGTCCTTCCTTACTGCAGAACATTTCATATTATTTATAGTAAATGTTTGTTGTACTTTTTAATAGTTTCTTTTTTTTTTTGTTGTTTCAATGAAGCTATGATTTCAGACACAAAACATTTTTTTTTTGCCAAAGTACACACTTTCAGGTTTTACATTATGCACAAAATAAGTATTTAAAAAAAGACCTTTACAAAGCTCAAAACGCTTACAATGCTTCACGCTATGGGGGCAAAAAGTCGGGGGATGTGGCGCGGGAGTAGAGGGCATGGGGGTAAGAGAGGAGAGGAGGGGTCAACGTACTGCAGTTTCCCCCCTGGTGTCACATCATTGTAACACAATAGCACAAGAATCATCCAGGACAGACAAGAAAAGATGCAGCTATATACACATAAAGCTTTCTATGTATAACTGTATACAGAGGCAAGCGCCTCCAACTACTTGAACAAATACATAGAATTTATTTTGTATGTTTATAACGTCAGCTTTGTAACTCTCGTTCTAGTTCATATTGATTAATATTTAAAAACAAATAAGAGGGGGAAACAAAAAAAAACAAAAAAACAAGTGCATTGATCACAGAAAAGTTTGGACCAAACATTCTTTTGAAAAAATGACTCAACTAGAAAGAAATCGATCTCGTTTCCCCGGCAGACATGCATTGATGTGTGTGTGTGTGTGTGTGTGTCGCTGTGTCTACACGCTCTGCATACCACTACGAGTACAGTATGTAGCTTGACACATACCGCATGTGGGAGCACGATGTGCTGCAAGCTTAACTCACAAATAGCATGTTAGCTTTAGTAACACGTTTCCTCTCTGTGTGTATCAAACCTGGTTCATGTATCCACATACATACACAACAATGAGCATCAGGAGTCGCCTCACCAACAGTGTGTGTCGTCTGACCTTCTGGACTAAACGAAGGATTTTATTCGGAGTGCCGTAACGTGCAATTTGTGTAATTGTTTCCTTTCTGAATCTCTTAAACAATAAATTTGCTTTATCGTCATCAAGCCAAAGATCGTTTGGAGTGGCGTTTCTTCCCAAATTCATTCTCACAGTGTAGCCGCTAATTCAGAGAGAGGAGGCTAAGAAAGGGTGTGTGTTTCTGTGTGTGTGTGTCGGGGGTTTATAGAACAACTTTCATACTATTTCAAGCTGTCTTCAGAATCAAACTGTTTGTACGGTAACCGCTGCGTACCAGGATGTCCTAAATGTGGGGGTATGTTTGAGGACACTATAAAGTTCTGCTGCTGACATTTTGAACACAGCCAGGGTTTGGTGACATCACATTATTCCCAGCATAGCTTCGCCTCACTTCCACCTGACGAGAGGCCTAACCAGACGAGCTAATTGAAAACAGGGCCTGTGAGGCTGAGCGGGAGTTGTTACTCATCGGAGCAGCTGTGGAGGACGCTTGTGCTGTGTGAGCTGCACCGATAATATTTGTGTTAGGTCATGGAAATTTCCCACTCAGGGTTGTACGTAGGTGTAATACCTCCTGAATAATGTAGTGTTAGCCTGATATGCGACAGATCAAAATGTACCGTATTTAAATCAGAAATTACAGAGGGCTCAAAAGCACGGGTCCAGTTGTGTTTCTGTTTCACACCGAGATGTTCCCTAAAACAGATCAAAGGCTATTTCTCAAGAACTGGATGACAGCGACTGAGACTGACCGCATGCAGAGATTAATGTCGCCAGTCTAGTCTCTGTATATTTAGTTTGTACACACAGAGTGGATGAATAAGCTCTTCCCTGTTGTGAAACAGCCTGTTCTCTGTCATTGTCCTGTATTTTATTTGTGTTGCTCTGAACCCATCGAGGAGGAAGACACACACTGCCCTCTGCTGTCAAACACACAACATGCACACTCTCCCCCCCTCGGTGCCTGCTCTAATATTAGTGCACATTAAAGATGCAACGGGTGAACGGGAGGGTGCAGGAGTCTAGCAGCATCTTTGTTCATTTAACCAGTGAAGAAAACGTTGTCTTTCAGTCGAGGTGCGGGTTGGAGGTATCGTACCGAACGCAGCTCACAGGGTCAGGCAAGGACCGCTGAGTAGAGGTGGATTACTCACTGAGAGGGTTTGTTCACTACTCTGATGGCTCTCAGCAGGATGTTTGCTCTAAGAAGGTCCTTTTCCTTTCTTAATATAAATTCAGGACTTTACACAAAATCTCTAGTTTGTCAACCGTCTTCCCAATACAACCATTCTGCTCTAAAAGCAGCAGTTTTTGGGGGTTTGGATGTGTGTGTGTGTGTGTGTGTGTGTGTGAGATGTTTCTCTCTTGAGCCGGGACACGAGGGCGCTATTCAAACACTTCTCTGCTGCATAAAAATCCACCGTTTAAACTCAAAGCCAACTTGTAGCTTGGAATGAATGCATGCAATCTGTACTGCCAAAAAAGAAAAAAAACATCAACACTACGGATCTCTGTCAGACCTCTTTGTTGGGAAAATGAAATTCGTAGGAATTCCTGTGTTGTGTCTGAAAAGTATTAGAAGCTCGCCAAAGAATGTTTAGCCTGCAGTGCGGAGCGTTCGGTGTCACAGATCAGTCCTGCATAACAAGGACCGGCTTAGAACAGAGGCGAGAGGTGGGTGCGAGTGGAGGGAGAGAGTTATGGAGGAAAAAAAAACAACCCGAAACTAAACAGGAATGAGAACTGAGAGTGCAACAGGAAGACAGGAAGGAACAGAAATAGAAACCAGTACTGATGAAAAAAAATAAACAAAGTAACTGAAGCTTAATCACATGCAGAAAAGAGACAGTATTTCAAGAAAAAGACACGGGAGACACTGTGATGGCGATAGAGAGAAGGGAGGATAAAGAAACAACCTATGTACGGTAAATATGAAGCGATCAGGACTAGTCTGGCATTAGGGGGCAGGTGCCAAAGCCCTCCCAATAAAGGGAGGTGGTTAGGGGTCTGTAGCTGGAGCTGTGTTGATGGGATTGAAGCCCATGTTAGCTAAGGTCAGAGAGAGGGAGACCAGGGGAGAGGCTGTAGGCCAAAGGGGGGGCTCAGATCTAGGGATTCAGGTCTCTGGACAAAAAGCGGAGCTGAATGAGGGGACACCATCTAATCAGACTTGTCTCCGTCCTCCTCGCGGTGGCTGTCAACTCCGTCACGCGAGGCTTTCTCCTCCTTGGCCAGCTGGGCTTGGGAGGCCAGCAGGGAGGAGAGGGAGAAGAGACCAGAGGAGGTGGTGACGGCGGGGAGGCTCGGCTGGCTCAGGCCGAGCGGCAGGGGGGTCATGGGCAGGGCCAGGCCCTGGAGCTGAGACAGCTGGTGAGCCTGGAGCTGCTGCTACATGGAAGACAACCAGACACAACTTAGGCACAGCAGGATAGACCCGACACACAAATCACCGCAGAAACACTGAGGGAAAGTCAAAATCTGCAATGCACAGACCTATTATACATCACAAATTATGTGTCGTATATAACCCCGGAGGCACAGCTCAGCTAACAGCTCAGGCACACTAGGATAGATGGAAGGCACACATCAAAGCTCAAATACATGCTCGGTAGGAGATGGAAAGTCTGCAGCACACATAACTTATTTATAACGGATGCAATTTTCAATCTATATCGCCCCAAGAAACCAAGTGAGAGGGGAGAATACTGTACAGAGGACACACATGCTCCACAATACAACACATAAAAAGACCACGGGATGTTTCATATAGAAAGACATATTGTTACTGCCAAGCGTGATCATTTTCATCACTCCCTGTTTTGCACACACTTGATGTCATGACACACCAGTGGGTGGATTTTAATGACGATGTGGCTGACTTCTCATAATCTAAATGCCCCGGTTTGCACAAGCTACACCTCCAAAGTAAACAGCTCTGCTTTACATTCAAACCAGAGCTCATAGGCTCCATGTCCTTGAGGTGTGTGTATATATATATATATATATATATATATATATATATATATATATATAAATATAGATGGGCATCAGAAAATGGACCAAGTGGCTCCCTCTGCTAAGAAGAGCCTAAGGACCGGCCGATGTAGACCAGTCTCCTCTGTTTCTAATGCGGTAGACACAAAGACAAAGGCAGGGCGCCTCTTTGGATCATGCATCACAGTGATGGAGTGGCTAAGCTAGCCAACACCAGACCCATAGTAAAATGATGGAGTGGCTCAGCTAGCGAATACTAAACCTCTGGTAAAATGATGAAGTAGCTAAGCTAGCCACTACAAGGCTTATATTGATGAAGTGTAGCCGGCTAAGATTAAAGCCCCAGAGATGAAGGATTACAGTTAGCTGGCTAATGCCCCATCCTTATTGATTCAGTATGCAGCAAGCTAGCTAATGTTGCTATTGTAATTGGTGTTTATTAAAAATAATGGTCGCACCAGTGCCACTGATACCTGTTCCACCTATTCGAGTCAGTATCTGACCAATTTCAGTTTTCCTACTAGTTTCAAAATATAGACGTTAGATATTTAAAATTATAAGCCAATAATGATAATAATGAAGGCCATTAAAGAGAACAATAGAATAAGTGAGAATGATCAATAGTTGTGCTTTCTAGCCATCATAAGACCCTCAAGCGGGGCTGGAACATCATACCCTTATGATGGAGTTCATCTCTGGGGGGGTGACCTGCTTGGCCCTCTCTATGGCTGCCAGGACCTGCTGCTGGTGCTGGAGACGGTGGGTGGATGGTGGGGGTGAAGACGGGGGAAGGAAAGTGAGAGAGACAACAAAAGCGAGACAGAAACAAGGAGGGGAGAGTTTGGGGAGAGAGGTGGAGAGGTTAGATCAATATCAATAGTCCCAACAGAGAGCGACAACCCTCTCTGGTGATGCACCCCCCCTCAGGCCATTCACCCACACACACACACACACACACACACACACACACACACACACACAAAAGAGCCTTGTGTGACACCAGTGAATGGATGGTTGGCTGGTGTGCTGTAATGGGTGGAGGTCAACGCCCTGGTGGGCAGATAAGAGCATGGCTTATCTGAATCACACAACCATTTATTACGCTGACTCACACACACACACACACACACACACACACACACACACACACACACACACACACACACACACACATAGGGAAAAGAGAAGTGGGATGGGGGAGATGGTGGAGGAAGAAGAGATAAAGGGAAGGAGGGGAGTGGAGGAGGAAGTCAAATAGGGAGGGGGGAGGGAAAACTGGGAGGACAGATTGAATATGGCAGAGGAGAATGGGAGAGGGAGGAATAAAGTGAAAGTGAGTTGGAAAGGAACACGGGAGGCGAGTGATGATGAATGACGAGGAGAAGAGAGGAGAGGAGGGAGGGATGCAGAGCGAGGGGTCGCGGAGGTGGAGAGGTAATGAGGCGGGAATGAGGATGATCTCATTCCAGGACGTAAGGAAACTGTGCCGAGGGTCAGAGGGTCAGTGAGGACTTTGTGTGTGTGTGTGTGTGCTTACCTCCTGAGACAGGTAGGGGAGGACTTGTGCGCAGATCCCGTTCAATCTCTTCACGATCTCAGCCTGCGGAAAGAGAGATTTAAGTTAACGGGCAATACGGGCGTTGCTCTACATTTCAGTTGCTGTCAACAAATCCCTAGAAAAGACCAAAACCACGTCTCTGGCCCGTCAGTTACACTCAGGCCCATTCATTCCTACATAAGATGTTCACCATATAAACTGATCACAAAAGTAGTTCCCTAAAAAAAGCTGGGCACTGTAGTTTTAAGCAAATGTTACTCAAACATTCATTTGGTGCTCTAGTGAGGACGGTGTACATGAGACCGATTCCAGTTTGACATCAGTGCCCACGTTCTTCATGATGAAGGAGGATGTCGGCCAGAGCAACAGTGTGACTCACTGTTGTGTTTTTAAAGCTGCTACACACCCTAATGCCTGCTCCAGACTGCACGATATCCGCCCGACTCTAGCCAGACGCGGTCACGACAATGGATGCCGCATCTGGTTCACCTATCAACGTCCTGACAGAGGGACGAGCATGTAAGCCTTTTATTTTGCCTTCCAAGACTTGTTCCTTCACAACCGTGACTTTTACCGATAGGAGCACAGCGCACTCTTCAACTGTAAACACGGCTAAGAGAAAGAGGAATGATGTGAAAGATAAAGAAGTCGTCTCCCGGCCAAGTCAAGTCGAGCATTAGTCCACCCACACAGGTGATTTGCCCTCATCTCAGGACTATGTGGGTGTGAACAGACCGTGCTTGATTGACGGCTCCCTCACTCTCGTTAGATTTGTCGCACCATCATCACTAGCCAGCGTGAAGCTCGTTACGTAGCAGCAAGGGTAGGAAAATCCTCTAAAATGGCAGCTTTTTTTTTTTTTTAAGAGTCCTTTTCACTTGCATTCAGCCTCAATAAGTCATGTGAAATGTGTTTACTACTCTGTATTGTTTCAGTGCTTTCTGTACACGTTAATACTCAGCATGTGTATCACCAAGACTATCCTGATCCGGTTTGAACATTTTAAAAATAAGACATTTCGACATGTCACAGTATTAAACACACTAATGCAAGTAATGAAAATGAATGATTCAATCCGTTTTTGGTTTTGGTCTTTTCGTGGACTTGTTGACAAAGAAAAAACTAAAGCACTTCACCAGCTTTATCCTTTAAACCCTTACGATTCAAACCACACTCTCATCAGTATGGGAAACATCTGCTTTGACCTTCCCAAACTGGGGCGCACACATCTTGCATCACACACACACACACACACACACACACACACACACACACACACACACACACACACACACACACACACACACACACACACACACACACACACTCACACACACACACACACTCACACACACACACACACACACACACACACACACACACACACACACACACACACACACACACACACACACACACACACACACACACACACACACACACACACACACACACACACACACACACACACCAAAAATCCCTTTATTCACCTCATTAATTAAGTTGCTTGTACTCTATACTCTCAAACTCTTGGGCGCGCACGCGCACACACCCCTTTCTCATCTTGCACATTCTCTATCTTTCTCACATGCAGGTCTATTATCACATTTGGTTGGTAATCATCCAATCCGTCTGAGATATGCAAAGCAGCAGTAATTGTGTTAGAGCCTAATTCGTGGCACGATGAGGAGAGAGGGGCCCTCCTAACCGTCATTAGGCATGCAGAGCACAGCTCCCCATCAAGCGCCTCCCTCCTATCCGCTCATCATTACACGCACACTCACACACACACACACCCTGACATCTCTAAAATGTCTCTCTAAAATGTCTCTGCGGGACTCGCTCCATGCTAACTATGGCTCTTCCTCTTTTTCAGTGCCCTTTATGCGTCTCTCTCTCGCTCCCTTTCTCCCCAACCCAGCCTCCGTTTCCTCTTTTATCTGTGCTCTCTATTATCCTCCTCTCTGTGTCTCCCTCAGCTTTTATCTGTCTGAACGCTTCTTCTCTTTTGTCCTGCCTTTACATTTTACTCTGCTTCTTTCTAGCTTTCCTCAAGTGCTACTGGAGCACACATTCACTGACGAGAGCGTTGCATGTGGGCAAAGAAAACATACATCATGATAAAACTGGTCAAGGGCACAAATACAGCGGGGATGTTCAACAGCATTCATTTGTCTTGGCTGCTTTATGTCAATTTGGGATTTTTGTCTATATTAACAATTTTATTATCGTATCGTACGAGTTGATGAAGAATCCGTTTCAAGGAAGCATGGAGGGCAGTCTAAACAAATATAACGTTTCACAGACTTCCTCCCGGTGTCCTGCTTTTGTCCCTGAATGAGCTTCTCTGTTTGAGAGTCTTGTGCTGCTGCTTCCTGCCAGGAATACAACCTGATATCATACGTATTCATCATTTATTAAATACCTTAAAAAGATTAAAAATCTAACAAGCAGTAGTGGAAAGTCCAGTGCATTTACTCACCGGTCTTAAGTAGAATTCTGAGATACCATGATTGAGTATTTACTTTTTCTACTCCAGAATATTTCAGAAGGAAATTTGGTCATTACATCATACAAACATATGATCTTAAAAAATATGATCTATTAGTATAGATTTAACTACCAAAATGTATTTAAATTAATTCCGGTAAGCTACAACTCAACCTACAACATTAAAATGCTGCAGTCACTTATTTAATCCAATAGCATATGATATAATTATAATAATAATAATATATGATAATGTAAAACTTTGACCATGGACATTGCACCAAGGTCCATTCTGCCTCAAAATAGTTTCCTATTAAACTTCAATGAATCCACTTATCAATTAATGGACATTATTTCAGCTCTACTACTTAGTAGTACTACTTGTACAGTGCGTGTAATGACGACTGCTTGTACATTATTTAGACATGCAATGAAAGCTCCTACACTGTATACCAAGTAAACAAAACAATGATGAAGAGTTACGTTGTGATACAGCAGGACACACATCCAACACTAAACATGGAGGAAGAAAAACACAGAGAACAGAAAGACAAAGAGGGGCCCAGCAACAATACGGCTTCATTGAACATGTTCCAAGTTCAATCCACAACTCAACCATCTCTTCACCAAGACAAAACAAGGAGGAACAGAGAGAGAGAGAGAGAGAGAGAGCACGAGAGAGAGCGACAGAGAGAGCGAGAGAGAAAGAGCGAGAGTGAACAAGAGAGAGAGCGAGAGATAGAGAGCGACAGAGAGCAAGAGAGAGAGCGAGAGAGCGAACGAGAGAGAGAGAGTGAGAGAGCGCGAGACAGAGAGAGTGAGAGAAAGAACAGACAGAGAAGAGAGGCATTTTTTGAATTGAGTAGGACGGAGTGATCAAGAGGGAGCAATTGAATGTGTGAGAGAGAGAAAGAAAGAAAGAGAGGGAAATAGAGTCAGAGGTGGAAAGGGAGGAGGAGCAAAAGTGTGGGGGGGGGGGGGGGGGGGGGGGGGGGGGGACAAAAGGCCTAGACATGAATGCTCCTTGACACTCGTTTCCACACATCCCCTTCAATTTCAACTCTCTAATGGAACTAGAGATTCTCCGCACCCACTCAAACTGTGCACAAAGCATGCACGCGCGCACGCACACGCATGCATACACACACGCACACGCAGGATAAGAGCACGCATCAACAGAAACCCACAACTGCTTATGAACACCTGCGCGCACACACGCACGCGAATATTTTTTTTTGTAAATTGCACACAGCCATAAGGACAATGCATGAGAAAATGTACAAAATCACACAAAGACTTCTGGACACACACACACCCACATATATTTGAAACAACAACAAATCACACACACAACCACACTTGTGACTGTGAATTTCATTCCTGTGAGATAAAGGAATAGGGTGGGATGAAGTGCACAATAAGGCTCAGTGTGTGTGTGTGTTTTTCCCGCATGCATCACAGCAGTCTTCCTGCCTCAGAGTTTGTGTGGGTGCATATATGTGAAGGTCTTTAAATCATGGAAGCTGCTACTTCTGTGCATGTGTGTCCATTTGTCAAAGCATACTCGGTTCTCCCAATATGGCTGTCAGTGTGCGCCATCAATCATAAGACAGTGTGTGTGTGTGTTAGTGTGTGTGTGTGGAGGGGCAGCTCCAGACGAGGTCACCGATAAGGGCCGGCCCTTTGGAGGCCCATCGCTCTCTCCCTCCTACAGGCTGAGCATAAATTACTCCCCCCAGCTTCAGCCACACAAACTGTATGATATCGGCTCTTTACACCCCTCCCCTGCCTTTTCTTTTCTTTATCAAAATAGCCAACTGAATCTAGCTGGACTTCTCTGAATTTAAAGATTTTAGGGAGGGGGCTGCTCCTATGATTTTGGATTTGTTGCCACATCAATATGCACAGACTAAAATAAACTTTCCAATGATAAAATGCACTTCCTCATACACATTTCCCTGCTCGCCATCACTGTGGATACAGTGAACTCAAATTGATTTGGCAACAGCAGAAAAGCTATACCCCCCCCCCCCCCCACCCCTTGGCGCCTGCATTTCCACACACAGCCTCAGGTGACATCGTTGAAATGTCCCTGAACACTCCCAAAGTGAAGGGAGATTATCTCTGTAATTCACACCTGCCAATCAGCGAGCTGCAGGTGCACAGTGGGGGGAATGGCTTTGGGAACGCACAGCTGTGTCTGCGTCAACAGAATAACAACGTGGAGGCGAGTTATTTTGGATGTTCAAGGTTCTGAAAGTAAAAAGTTTGGTTTTGTGGCGACGTGAACACACTGGAAGCTGGAGCGCCTCCAAGGTTCTGGTGGCCATGAAAGCCCCGTCATCAGCATGAGAAACTGAAATGGACGGACTGATAGTCCTCGACACTGTCAAATCACAGAGTTTAAAAAGGATGCTGTGTGAACCAGTAATGGCGGGCAGAAAAAATTCAAAGAAAAACTTGGCGTGGTGCTGCGCTCCTAATTCCGAAAACTAATTGTTCTGAGATTGCAGCGGCTCTAATTTGTGGCTCTTGCTGGTTTCTCCACAGCACTTCAAAGGGAATACCGCCTACCTGGTGCATATGAGAGAAGTTATGCTCCAGAAAGAAGGGATTTCCTGCTTCCTGTCAGCACCAAGTTTAGCGAAAAAGCTGAACTCATGTTTCACTCATAGACTTCTCTTTGGATTCTCCCCGGCGACATGAACAGTGTAGCGTTTGCAGCTACTTGCCAAAGCAAACTGAGAACAGGTTTATATTGTATGTGATTGGGATGTGTGAGAGTTATTAAACATAGACTCACCTGTTTGTGCATCTCAATATTGAGCCCGTAGGACATCTCATAGTACTGGAAAAGAGAGAGCGAGACAAAAAGGAAAATGTTAGAACACAAGCATCCAAAACCTTTTCTCAGACAATCCTTGTGCACAGGAGGTCCATGCTAACACTTTATTATGGAGCCGTTACTGTGAGTGTGACAATTCATTCGGATAACACTACAATTAAACAAACTGTCTTTTTCAGCTGGTGTTCTCAAAAAAAATGAATGTATGATTTAGTAACTGCTATGCGCCGTTAATGAAGAAAACTAAATGCATCATTATTTGACTTAACATATATACACGCACACGTATGTATGTATACATAGAGAGCGGGGAAGAGAAGGTGGACTATTGCATGCAATGTTTCTCTAAGTTATTAATAATAATAATTCAAAAGTGAACGTCTACGTGTCAAACTATTCGGTACAGCCAGGGTAGGAAATTTACATATTTTTTAGGGGGCAATTGTTGCCCCCACTGACTGAAATCCAGGGGCATTTAAAAAAAATTGGGGGCACTTTTTGAAACTTGTGAAATAACATTTAACCTTTGTTCAAAACAATAAATATACTTATTAAGGCTTACAGTATATGAGCAATTGTCATCAAATGGCAATAATAAGACTATTAGGCAGTAGTCTACAGATTCAAAGTGTTTTCTTAGATTTTTTTAACAAAAAACAAACATAAATCAGACAATCATATTCAATTTATTCTTATTTCTTTGTGGTTATTTATTGTTATTGTAACATTTTTTAAACAACTATTAACAATTATTAAGTCAACGATGCCTTGGTTACATATACATCAGTCATTGTATGGAATTATTGAGAAAGATATTTTGTAGCACCTCAAATATTGTGATATTACCCATTTTTGTCCTGAACTTATGCATTAGTCATTGTGTGGAATTTTTGAGAAAACACATTTTTATAGCACCTTAAAATGATTAAAAACGTGCCATTTGAAGGTACAAATTCAGTTCAGAGTTTTTGCTTAGTAAAATATCTTAATTGGCTGTCAGTCAGGTATTATTCATTAGCAACCCTCAAATCAAAGAATAAAGACACTTTACGCACAATTTAGGTGTATTTTCCCTTTAACTCACGAGATGCGGGTAGCATGTTTTATACTTAATGTGAATATAATTCATTTAATCTAATTGCCATTATGCAATATGTATACTTTGTTGGCATCTTATTCTGAAAACCGGACGTTCGTCTGAAGAAACCGGATGTTGTCTCACGTTAATCTTTCCGCTAACTTTCAAAGTCCTTCGCTCGCTCCCGATCTGTGCCGTTTGAATGCGTTTACCGTGAATTTCAGCATATAGGTGCACTACAATTTAAGTGTCTGCTGAGTTGACCACAGAGATCCGAGTGTCTACTTTACCGCAGTCACAGGTCTGATGAAGAAGCCCTCCATTTATTTATTTGTTTAGAACGTTCGGGTCTTCACGCACACGAAACATCAGTCAAGGCGAAAATCAAAAACATTATATGGTAACTGGACCGGGTCATATAGGCTACGATGTTTTTGACAAGTTCATTAAATTATCATTATTATTAGAGGAAATTTGTTGCCCCTCTCCTAGTGATATCAGGGGCACAATTATATTTCTTAGGGGCAGTTTTGCCCTTTGCCCTCATGTATTTCCGACGCTGGGTACAGCCCTAGTCATGGCTGTGATTTGGATTGTGATATTAAAGATAAGATAATAGTCTATTGTTAGCTGGACAATCCTGTGAGTACTGAAGCACAGACACAGACTTGTAAAAGGGAGCTGCTGTTTGATTAGAGGAGACGTTGCTATTAAATAGATTCCTCTCTTTTAAAAATGTTTATTCACTTAACTTTAACTGCATTGCTTGCAAAAAGCTTCACGGTTCCATTATTCCAAATATGTCAGATGTTGAGCCATGGCGATCGAAACGATCGTCCTACGACACATCTTAATAACTCTAAAACATATTCACACTCACAAACACACCTGCGCGCACACACACACACACACACACACACACACACACAAAAGGAGAAGAGAAGACACATGGCTACAAATAGGAAAAGGAACAGAGAGAAAAGACGAGAGTAGAGAAAGAGCCTGAGAGTGTGTGTGCGAGTGTGCGAGTTCAGTGTTAATGAGAGGGCCACCCTCTAGGCGTCAACCCTGTTAATCACCCACTCTGTCTGCAGGGGGGACTGGCTCTGTCACTGGAAAACAAACAACACACAGATCTCTCACACATAAATGTGGACACACACACACACACACACACACACACACACACACACACACACACA